GGGGGGGGGGGGGGGGGGGGGGAGGGAAGGTGGGTTTAAGTGCATCAACATCCAGTTAGACGGGGAACATCCCCTAAGATTTCAGCGTTCTAGCTTCTCAGATTCCCGAGTTATGAACTCATCTAAAAAAAATTTTGGCGGGCCCGTGCGCGGGTATCACGCGGATGATGGCGCCAATTTTGGGGATTAGGGCCGGTAGCTGCATGTAGATTAAGTTCCCAAAATTTCAGCCCTGCTGCTTTTCTAAGTCTTGAGATGAAAGTGCGTGGCAGACGCACGCACAGACGCACAGACACACGGACACACATACAACCCCTCGTCAATATGCGTTTTTGCACTGCATAGCTGCAGAAAACGCATAATAATCCTAAAATGTTAGTATTTGCTCTTATGCCTTCGTTAGTGACCACGTTTCGCATCCACACATTTTGTCCTTATCATAGTGATAATGTTGAGTTTGGCGCAGTCTCCGTGACCTGTCTACGGGTCGTCGATGTTGTGAAGTTCGTGCCTTCTTCCACTCCTGCTCATCTGCTAAAAATTATAGATTAGCCTCTCCCCCTCCACTTCAACCAAAAAAAATCACAAAAAACCTTTAAATCAGATTTAAAAATTTTCAAATTTGTGGTGGATAATGCGATTTAAAAATTATAAATGTTGAGAAACACGCACGACAACAATACATCCCGGGAACTCGAAAAAGTCAACTTTTTTATGACTCCAAAACTGTAGTTACAGAAAAAACAGGAAATCATATAGTAACATTAATACATCTGGTGCAAACATGGTACCTTCACACCGACTACCTATACGATCTTGGTATTCATCAACAATTCCTTTAGTTCATGAAGGATTTTCAGAGTTACCTAAATCACATCATCAAAGCTTCGTGAATTTACATCAGTCAACAACAAAAACGTATCAGCGATGGAAAAAAGAGATTTGTAAAACATAAAAATTACAATAAGCTTTGAAAACTATACACTTCCCACATTCTCACTGTTCCTGGCGGTATATAGTTGCTTGCTCGTATGGCCAGTGATAATTTTGATGATGGTGGTGGTGGTGATGACGATGATAACGGTGATGGTACGAATATAGGCAGCGATAATCGGATTAACAACTAGCTTAACACTACATGGTCTTAAACAATCCCCTTAAATAACGTAACAAAATTTTCCATAACACAAGTGCAAATTTTTGCATTTTGCCTCGAATATTACAAATTATGCTTTGTCGACAACCGAAAGGACCGTGCTGCAAGGGCGGATTAAACACACGTTGCTACTTTTACCTAAATTATGTGCTTTTCCATGAATTTTTCCCTTTGTCAAAATCCTTGCTTCTTCTGTAATGACCAAAATTTGACTGTTGTTCTGAACAATACATTATCCAATATGTAAAATCAACAGTTCCGCATAGGCAAACAATACAAAAATTTAAAATCAACAACACCACAGAAGCAAACAGAATACAAACAAAAAAAAGCAAGACAGTGGCTGTGCTCAAATATGCCATAATTACAAGAACTATAGATTTTTTCACGTTTCGCTGGCACAAAGCAATTGTGTATATTTTGCGAAATCTGCACTTGAAAGTATTGCTCGCCAAGATCGTGTTGCAAATTCGTACCTAAAATTTGTTGGCGTAAACAAATTCAATAAAAATTCATTCATTGGTGTCAGGATTTAACACAGCCAGTTTGTGTTTCTTACGTTAAAACGTTCAATTTGGTAGGCACGGGGCTGTGGGTAACACTCTTGTCGTGCAACAAATAGAGGTTCAACTGCGAGGACCTAGACAATCGATCCCACAACGGCTCGTTTATTTGTTTTGAAGATAAACCGGTAATGACGAATTTCGGGGCCCAAGCCTTCGTTATAAGCAACGCTCAAACGGGGTGAAGCGGTGAGGGAAAGGAGGGCAGGACACCGACAACCCTGCAAGTAAGTGGTGGCTGTTAGCGTTTTTTAATTGTTCTGGCTGCTTTCTCGAGTTTTTTCGCCTCACAGGGAGCGAATAATTGAATAGAAGAATTTTGACTCTGATTTTTGCTTAATTAAAAGATCAAAAGTCAAAAATCAAAGACCAATCTGCAATCGCACTCAGTATGGTGCGAAGGCATTCGGGAAGTAGCCCGTTTGGCAGCAAATGCCAGTAACTACCCGCTGGTAAAGTTGTCAATCTCACCCCCTCCCACCTCTTTCGAAAGTTGCTCACAAGCAACCTGATGGCCAGTTTGACTCTCTGACATATGCCAGTACCAATTCACCATCGAAATGAATGAACGAATCGTAGATGGACTGAATGTCCCAGCGACAGAGTCCAACTTTTGATCTACTACACGACAATAGTATTACTCCACTACGCCATGCCTGCCGGTACAAGCAAAATCCCAAAAAAACACCTACCATTGAATTTCGGTCAGTGGCTCCGATCCAAGCACAAAAGGTTCTCTCGGCATTGACAATAGCTGGCATCGCAGTGGGCTGATCAATACTTCATAATCGATTATTCCTTTCCATGAGGCAGAATCAGCAGCCGGAAATGCTGAAAAGCAAAATACACAGAGCTCACATGTTGCAAAAGAGGGAGCGAGTAATAAGGAAGCGAAGTTGGAGGCTCAACCCCATTCGCCTTGTCCAGTTGCCTTTCGGTTTCCTGTGATATGCAAATGTCCCGTCTCCTAGCTCGAGCTCCCGCCTCCGTGATATTTAATGTGGTGATTGAAAATGAAATTGTTATTGTAATTGTATTCTTCCACGCAATTTGGAAGTGCGCGGCGGCAGCTTGGAGCTGCTGCCACCTGAAACTATTGTGTGTGACCGGTGGCAGCTTGGAGCTGCTGCCGGCTGATCCTGATTTGTTCCGTTCTTTTTTTAAATATTTTTTTTTGTGTAATTGTACTAATGAAGCGAGTCTTGTTGCTTGGTGTTGTTCAGCTGCCCGAGCGCTTCCTCGCAGTCAGACCGGCATCGCAGCTCCAACTCCTCCTCCGCCCGAACGTTAAACACAAACGAAGAAGATGCACTCTCGGCATCATAAATTCGTATTTCAAATATTTCAGCTATATGCAACTAGCAGCACCAAGTTGCTATGCCCAGCGCTGCTTCACCTGATGGTCAGCTTTTGGCAATTTGGAGATGTTTTTTTTATCTTCCGAAAGTTTTCTCTCTCTGATTTCTCTTTCTTTCGCATATCTGTCTTGCAAATTAGTCACATGACTGTTCAGAATATGGTGGGTAGGAGGCTGTACTGATGATTCCCGCTTCTACACGCATGCACTGCTCGGCCAGTGTTTACAGCTAAGGGATGAAACACTGACTATATCATGAAATATCATCCGGCACATGACACTTAAGACCAATCCTTCTTTTCTACTATTTCGACGGTTTTCCGACAATTGCATTTAACATTTTGATGGTACATAATATCAAAGCTAACGTATAATGACTTCATGGACGAAACGTCTTAACTCTCTCATTCTCATTTTTCCTGTACCAGTAATATTTCTACCTCGTGCATCACATAGTTCGTTCTATTCTTGCCTTTTTTTTACGTTCTTCATATTACTTTCATGCTACAATCATGCGATAATCATATAAACAGGACAAATATTTTATGCATAGTTTTTATGCAGTTTTCACTTCCTCTTTCTCATGACT